AATTAATAGAGCTTTTCTCAATATATTTACGTAAGCAACTCGTAATTTTATTCGTCTTTATTTGTCTCACGATAGTTATAATAAAAACATGAAAAATCTAATATGTAGGCTTGTAGGTACATATTTACAACTGTAAATGATAGGAAATACAACAACTTACAACTTCTTAAGCGAGTATCAAACACAACAAACAATACATTACTGTACATTAACCCACACATTCCCCACTTCTATTCCACCTGTGTTTAGTAAACAATACATTAACTAACCACTTAGCTACAATACACAAACAATTAGGAAAATTAATAGCAAGTAATATTTGTATTGTTAATTACATAAACATATTGTTACTTGGTTCCTTAAAGAAAGACTTTGAAGTGCAATTATGTGAAAGAATAAACAATAAACAATTGGTTTCGGAAATAGTATCTAATGCGTAATAAGTATTGAACTCATTTTTCATCGCCTTGCCTGTATTTGGTACGAATTTATATCTACTAATCGCCACTACCTCGTTGGCCGAGTGGTCGTAAGTACGACTTGAATCGAATGATCGAACCCGAGACCCCTTGGCCGGCGCCAAGGGGTCTCGGGTTCGATTCCCGGGTCGGGCAAAGTATTGCTGGGTTTTTAAATATTCTCAGTAGTAGCACGGAGTCTGGAATTGTGCCCGGTATATGGCAACTCCCTATTACATGGGACTCATAACACAGAAGTGAGTGTTACATTGTACAGTGGTCAGTGGTATAATGTGCACTTCTGCCTACCCTTTCGGAGATAAAAGGCGTGATGTTATGTTATGTAATCGCCAAAATAGTTTTATAAATATGGCTTTATATATCGTTCTTATCCATTCGAATCTACATTTTGGATTGAGCACCTAGCTTCACTCACGGACAAACTGCCAGACTATTATTTAAACTATTATTTTGTTAGTTGTTGTTGTTGCCAGACTATTATTTTGTTGACGTTTTAAACGTACCAAATTATGGTTTAAATGAAACAAATGCTTTGAGTGTTTATTTTGAACACTACCTATATAGAGTTATAGACATTTTATTTTGATCTTGCATTAAACTTAGGAAGACGACGACGTTAGGATGACGGCACGGATAGTGCGGTGGCTGGGCAACTGGCTACCGCGCAACGTGTCGCGGGTTCGATTCAAGCACGGAATAACTCTTTGTGTGATCCACAAATTGTTGTTCCGGTGCTGGGTGTCATGTGTATGTGAACTTGTATGTTTGTAAACGCCTACGACACAGGAGAAAATCCTAGTGTGGGGCAACGTTTTTAAAAAAAGAAAAACAAACGAGAAAACGAGTTTTCAGGCTTTTTCAAAAATGGGCTTAAGTATATACGTATCTTTCCGTGTCATTTAATGTAGATGGAGTGAAAACAGTACACGTATATTCCTTTCTATTTCGCATATCCATTAAGTATACCAACCAAAAGTAATTTGGTGTATTGTGCTTACTCATTTCGAATACTGCAAACCAGATATTACAATTTTATACCAAAATTCAAGTTATTCGTCAGTTCCGACCTAAATTCCAATGCGCGTTGAACTTCAAAATGTTAAAAGTTTAAACGTTTTACGTGCATAGCAGGCTCTCTGCCGACCCCATTTTGTTATAAATTGTCATTTCACGCCATTGTGATCCGAATAACATCATTATATTGGTAAATCTGTGCGTTATCTGCCAAATACAGCTGTTATGGGATAATCTCCCTTGTGAACGGTAAAGGTATGGGGGTTAAAGTGGTCATACATAGTAATTATAATAGGCTGTGCTTAAGGGTGGGAATTCCATGTTCAAATTTTGATTAAGATTATAATTCTTGATAACTTTTTTGTCGTCTGCCTCATTGGCCGAGTGGTTGCAAGTGCAACTGCCGGGCAAGGGGTCGTGGTTTCGATTCCCAGGTCAAGCAAAGTATTACTGGATTTTGAAAAAAAAATCTCAGTAGTAGCACGGAGTCTGGAATTGTGCCTTGTATATGGCAATAGGCTCACCCCCTATTACATGGGACTCATAACATATGTAAATAGTGAAAAGTGAGTGTTACTTCTGTGTGCACCTCTGCCTACCCCTTCGGGGATAAAAGGCGTGATCTTATGTTTTTTTGTCGTTTGTTTCATGCTATTTCGTAGTAAATCATTGTTACTTTCCTGTAAACTTTAGTTCAAAGGATGGAGTTTAACCTATTTAGGCTTTCGGTGAATTACATTCGACATAATGCAGTACTTCTGAAGTTCTGATTCTCAGTCTGCTACTGGTCTTAGGTCTCTCCGTTAGCAGGCCATGCACCTACTAAGCTCGACAGTTTAGTCTATTACCAGACTGGATATCTTGCACCATAATCTGCAAAGGCAGACTGGATATCTTAGATTAACAAGTTCAGGTTTATCAGACACCACTGTTGCTCAGTAACTGTCAAAAGTGTCGATTATGTTTAAAATTTTAAAATGAGAACTAAAAATAAGCTAAAGCAACAATAATATCTTCTATACTATGCTAGCGTAGTCCCATGCGGTATTGTTTAAACTGGCTCGCGACCGAGCGCAGCTGTGAGCTGAAAGATAAGCGCTACAATCCACTGAATAAAGCGCTTTCAATTCTAAAGCGGTGTAAAATTATACCTATTCTATATTGTACAGGTTTTAGTTTACTTTGTTTATTTTACTTTTTTTTAATAATTCTTATTTAAAAAAAAATTTTTGTTGTACGAAGGTATTATTAATATTTGTTTGCGAATTTTTTTCTCTCGATAAACCAAATCGAAATCTGTGTTGTGTACAATTATTTTCAATTAAGAAAATAATTGTTTTGTGTACTTAATTCTAGTTTTCTAGCCACAAACCAACGTAAAGCTTTCATATTGGAATTTTTAAAATAATCCTAGTAGAGGACACTGTTAAGTATTTCTTTAATTCTATTTTAATGTGTTACATGATGAACTATTTCAACCCCTGTAATAAAGGGCTTATGACATAACAGCCGCAAACAAATGTTACAACGAAACAAATTAAATTCTATCTCTAATTCCAACTAGATCGCATTTTATGGTATGTTTTGGCTACTTTCGTTCAGAAAGACAATTTAAACACATCCAAAAATAAAAACAAATAAATATTATGACCTTCTTGACATCTATAATGTTATGTTAAACATAACATAATGTTTACATGTTAATGTCACACGGAAATGCAGTTTAGCCCTTATTTAATCAATGGTGACGTAAAAATATCATCGCGGATGTAAGGGAACCGCGTTGCGTATACTGCGGATATTTTCACTAGTGACGGGCTCTTAGCACTATTATCGTAGGAAGGGATACGCATTTTTACACGAATGCCCCAAAAAGAGATTTCTGTGATGTTTTTGGTGTATTAAGTACATAGATTGAGACTTAAATGTATCTATTTTAATTAAGAATATTTTTATAGTTTTGTGGGATTTTTCCATTGGAGACAAATCAAGCACTCGTCAAATTCGTGTTTACGATCACACAACTTGTTTGAAATACGTTTCCATGAAACGTATTAAAAAAAACTTTTCTATTTTAAACAAATTCAAATCAATAAAATCATGTTCATACAATACGTGAATACTCTATAAAAATTTAATCAGACGAGTCATATTCAACACAAAAATGGAACACAACTTCCATTCGCAATAACCAATCACAAGCCACGAATCCATAAACTGGCTACAACGATCGAAAACACAGGCTCAAATAGCAAACATCCTTTATCCCGGTATGATCACAACTCTAGCTATTTGGCCGGGATCCAACAATGACCGGGGCAGGGGCGGATTCAGCAAGCGCGGGGCCTGTAGCTAATTCTATTAAAAGTCAAAGTCAAATTATTCATTCCAATTAATACATAGGCACTTTTGAAACGTAAAAATTTAATTGTCCACCAAAGTCTGTCCGTCAATGAAGCTAGATGCCCGTTCCAAAGATTAAAATTACCTGTGCCCGTTGTAGATTCGTATGGAGATTATATACCGAGTGTTTCTAAAGGTATGAATGGAACTGCTGTTCAGTTTGATACATACTTTCATTAACACGCGCTGTTTTTTCAATTTATAACAATATCCTTCACTGACACTAACGATGGATACAAAATTTCACTAAAAATACTATAATATCAAGTCCGCAAACGAAATCTCCTTACGGCATAAGGATATTAGCAACGTTTGCAAAACTCCACTAAGTTGTAAATGTATTCTATTAATTAAGACCTTTTATACACTGTAGCAAGCAAATAAATATTTTGACTTTGAAATGCGTTTGGTTACGCGGGGTTCCCTTTTGCGCGGGGTTCGTAGCAAATGTTACTTTTGCTGCGTACCTAATCCGGTCCTGAGCGGGGGACATCCGTAGTGTCAATGGGATTTATACCCGGGTACTTATACCCCTCACTTTAATTGACCGTTGCAATGCACTGTTGTACTGGTTTGTGGGGTAAAAGGGTAATACGTGGGGTGGTTTTAGGGTATAAAGTGGAGCCTGTAGCAGAGTTGTTATTGGAACTTTTATATGTTATATGATAACTTGTGTTATAGCTGAATGTATTTTCCTCTATTAGCTGGTTATTTGTTGTATTTTATCGCAATGGATATTAAAGTTAAACTGAATACAAACTTTAATATTGTATCTCCATTGATTGTTTGTTCTTAACACGTTGAACGCCATGGCGTTCAACGTGTTAACCCCCATGGGGGTCACCGGTGACCGGCGTTAGCGGAGGATTTGCCTTCAACAGTTTTTTATTGGCAGTCAAAGTCTTAAGGCTATTTTTTAACTTAAAAATGGCTAACAACTTAATTGTTGTCCTCGATACTATACCGAAACTCGGTTTTAAAGCCAAAATATGTAAACAAATTAACAAAAATAGAAAGACGAAAGAATTTCAAACTTCAACCGACCATTTTATGATCAGACCAATTGTTGCCAAACGAAACTAACCCTTATGTATATTGTTACAGGAGACATCGAGGACTGCATAGTGACGCCTGCGTATCAAGGCCAGTTCACTCCACTGCCAGAAGCTCTGTGTGACTGCATCATGGACCTGACGTCACAGGTGAGACAATATTTCTGAATATTCTCTTGATATTTACTAGAGGTAAACTGCTTATGGAATATTAGGCTTACTGTGTAAAGTATGTATTTATTTTTAGTTAATTATGTGTCACAAATTAAATTACTCGTGTAATTGGGATGATGACAGGGTATGAAAATTAAAAATCGAATTAGTCCGTAAGTTAGGCAATGAAAAATATTAGACACGTATTTTTTTTATTTTGTTGTATAATAAAACAATACTTAGATAAAATTAATCAAAGTTCAGGAGTGGGGGCTAAAACGTCATTTCTACGTATAAAATGTACATAGAAGTGACATCACGCGACATTTCAAATCAATATATCGTCGAAAGTTTTCGTTTCTGTAAGAAAATATAAAATACGTGTCTAATGATTTATAATAATCTACAAGACGGACATTAAAATAAAAATTATGCATCTACCCTATTGTATGGAGAGGTAACTCGATTAGTTTCAATCCCCGCTAAGAGTTCATAGTTATGAACTATTGCGTGATATGGGAGCGTCGCGTAGCCTATATCCTATATCTAACCACAGAATTACGTAAAAAAAAGGAATAATTTCCTAATTAGTAGAAAAGTACATATAACATCTGTAAATAATCGTTTATTTAAATAAACTGCATTTCAATATCGGTTACAAAAATGTTTGCTCAATAAATCCAATATGGCGCGTGTCACTTACCCACATACGTCATCGTAAAAGTTTTATACTTATTTATGACTTAGGCCCACGAAGCTTTTAATTTATTACTTTATTACCGAGGCCAAATAATAAAGTAAACGGTAATAAATTAAACATCAACAGGTTTCTTGTTACAATCGCCAAATTCATAAAATATTTTTGACCATTGTCGTGAGTGAAGTTAAATATTTTATTGGAAACTTCGTTTGTACTTACACGAAAATTTTGTGTTATTAATTTTTTGATCGAAAGTGGGATGATTGTGCAGTTTTTTTTTAGTATGGTATTTTTTTAGCAGTAAAATCGTAGGGTTGTCAACGCTTTTTATATTTGAAAGACAGTAATTCATCAGGTCTTTGGTTTTAAAAATGTTATTACTTGTCTAAATATCTTTCAACATAAATGTCTGTAATTATTCATAATCAGGTCCATACTTGGTTTTAAAAACGTAATTACTTGTCGAAATATCTTTCAACATAATGGTCTGTAGCATCCTCATTTCCAATTAGGTTACGAAAATTATTTAATATAAGAAACCCGTTCAATTTTTTTCAATATTTGTAAAACGGAAAAAAATATGTATCATTGCCAAACAAATAACATTGTGTTCTCATATGAACTGTGTAATTAAACATACCGAAACATTATAATAGAAGGTTTACTAATATACAGACACTATATTACTTACAATAAAACCATTGTACCAGCCCTATATTACCAAGATGACTATCTGAATAGCCGCTCTACATATCGCGATGATAATCATAGCCCACTAGCCGTGATAGCCAAATATTTGTATTAAAAGCAAGAAAAAACTCAGAACAATAGCCCGGGAAACGGAACGGAATCAAATTGATTACAAATTAGTACGATAGCCGACTTTGAACTTTTTAACTTACTTTCTCTGTAACACAATTTAGGTACACATTCGCTGATATTCTTAATACAATGACATTAATGAATTTGTATGTAGATTTTCTTTTGTTTCTATTTTTGTTTTTTTTTTAGTTTTAAGGTGTGTGAGAAAGAAAATGATAAGTGTTTTTGGATAATAGAAGATTTCAAATTTTAAATTAAATTAACAAACCGTCTGCACAGTTGCTACAGAGGTTAAGCAAGTTGCTGCCGCGCAACGTGTCGCGGGTTCGTTTCCCGCACGGAACAACTCTTTATGTGATCCACAAATTGTTGTTCCGGGTCTGGATGTCATGTGTATGTGAACTTGTATGTTTGTAAACACGTAGGACACATGAAAAATCCTAGTGTAAGGCAACGTTTTAAAAAAAAATGTTGAATCTGATGGGATATATCTAACATAGAGTTAAATCTTCTTGCTATTAATATATTAGGAATATCTATGTAAAAACTTGAATAATGCATTGAATTTAAACTTGAGAACTTGTGGCTAGCGCTTTTGCTAGTCTTATCAAAAAATATGTAATTACCCCTTAATTGAAATGTATCAACTAACTCAATTAAATCATTAATCATTAGTGAATTCGAACCGTAAAGTTAATATTTTATTGCTCAAAAAAATTTTACCAAAAGCAAAATCAATTTATTAAAAAATTCGCATATTAAACTCAACCTATATGCCAAACTACTTCAAGAAATTTTCATCCTTATGTCATAGGTACCTAGAGATTAAATTCTCTTAAATGACTTTAGGTGAACTTGATCTGCTGCCCTATACAGTTGGGTATAGACATAAATCCATAAATTATAATATGTGAAATGATTGAAATTCGTTTAATTTGCATACGATATCAAACGGAACGGATAGATCGATGTAATATGGCCGTGAAATGTTGCCAAAATAAAAATATAATACTGGTTTAGGAATATGTATATATGTATATACCTGTGTATGTATGAATATGTATGAATATGTGTATATACCTGTTTCGGTGTGTTTGTGTTGGTGTGTGGTCTAAGTATTTTTAATATTTAACGTGATCACGGAATCGGGCGAAAATAATGCAAGGAGTGAAGTGATAAAGTATTTTAAGCGTTTTTTATAAGCTTAAAACGACGAAACATAACGCAAGCGTTGTTTCCCGTCGGTTTTCTGTGAGGCTGTGGTATCACTCCGGTCGAGCCGGCCCATTCGTGTCGAAGCAAGCTCTCCCACACTTAAATATCCATTAAATAATGTTTTCTAGAGGTATTTAGTTAATACCAATTTAATACTCACAACTATCAGACCACTTTTCTAAACTCACTGATATAAATAAATCGCATTCTTCTCTGCCTTGCACCACACAGGTCCAGTCATGCGAGGTTGTAAGGAATTCTACCCATCATGGTCTTTTTGCTGATACACTCCTAAAAATAACAGCTCCATGATCTCATTGCGAAATAATCGCCACATTAAATCACCACCAGGATGAATAAAATTAACTTCAGAACAAATTCAAAGTCAAAGTCAAAGCATTTATTTCAATTAAACCATAATTTGGTACTTTTGAAACGTCAACATATACAAAATAAATAATAGTCTGTCAGTCAGTCCGTCAGTGAAGCTAGGTGAAGCTAGGTTCTCATTCCAAAATGTAGATTCGAATGGAGAAGAACGTGCAAGACACTCCATTCGTTGGGAAACACTTTGAGTTGTAGGTAAACTATGATGCTCTTACCTATTAAAGGAAGTTCAGCTGGTAAATAAAGTGGCTGGTAAATTTTTCGACCCTGAAACAGGGTATATAATTGTGCTTAGTATGATCAGGTGTAGGGAAAGTGGGAAGATATAGTTAAAATCCTCTCAGCTTCTCGAGCTTTCTTTGAAAACCTTCTTAGGATAGCAAAGCCTGTGTTTTGATAGTCCTATAGTAACATTTTAAGTGAACTATAGCTAACCGCTTTACAAGTATATCTACGAGTTTACAAGTACACTTTTTTATGGGATAAGCCAATAAATGACTAGACGATTCACCTGATGGTAAGCAAACGGCGCCGCCCATAGACACATCAAATAAAATAGAATAGTAATCTTTATTCCAAGCTCAGAGCTCATAAATGGTTAGTAACAATTTTCTTATACGACTAGAAATACCAGAGCTGTTACAAATGCGTTATCGGCCTTTTGGGGATTAAGAATTTGCTATTGTCAGGGATTCGGGGATTGGGGAGATTTTATTACAAGTTTTAAGGTTATTTTTATTATTTTTTTACATATTGTGGCCTCCTATATTGATGAACCACATAGTTTTTATTTTTTTTTGTAATACCTCTCGTGTGTGTGTTAAAGTGTATTGTTGGAGACCTTAATTTAATAAATAAATAAATTAGCGAGGGAAGTAATTGGGCCTCACTACACAATATGCAAAACAAGTCAATACCCACTATCAAAGCATCATAAATAAACACTGCAATCTCCCTTATCACCCTAAATCACGGAAATCAGATAAGACAAGAGAAAATTTATTAGTTTTCTGTTAATTATTATCCTTTCAAAGTAATAAACTAGTATTCTAAAGGTAGGCACGGCCTCACATCAAACTAAAGTAACCAGTATAAACTGGCCGTTAAATGTGCGGAGATATTAGACGAAGGGGGATCATGACAAACTGGTTATGTATAGATTGATATGAACTCAGGTCCTAGGCTACTGTAGTTGGTTTTGCTCAATTAATTTGTCACATTACGAAAGATTATTGGCCCAATTCTTAGACTTATTGGACAAGGAATGTGGCACCAGACATTAGACAGGTTTGAGACAATGCCACTTGGAATTTCAATCAGAATTGCATTAACATTGTAATATTATTATGTCGAGTAAAGTTAGCGTTTGTTTTGCTGTGGTTTTAATGCGAAGTTGTCGTAATTTATTCAAATTATTTATTGTGTTAGGAACTAATAGAACTTAACTAAGTTCTCAATAGAAAATATTGTAGAAGTCGATGACTGATCAATCCCCAAGCGGTCGCCGGTGACCGCTCTCCACTATCTTCATTATAGACCTTATTTCCGATGTTTAGAGACTACTTTGTATGAACGGGGATTGGTGATTTTCGGTGCGAAATATCCAGTGATTAAATGGTATTTGAGGCATCTCTTCTATATTTCATGATACAGAGGGTATAACTTCATTCCCAATAGGCGTGTCGACAGTGTAAAAAAATCAAAAAAGTAATTAGTCCGTCATTAAGATCGCACGAAAATATCAGACACGTATTTTTTGTTTTATCAAATTAACAGAAGAATACGTATTTATTCCGCATTAAAGTTAGGGAGTGGGGGGTGTTGACGTCACACTTACGGAGAAATCGTACCTAAGTGTGACGTCACGCGTCAT